GTAAGCTGTTTGCTCATAGTTATTCATTGTATACTTAAATGTGTGCTTTCTGGTCACAAAAATAATTGGCAAGGTTGTTTTGGGTTGTTTTTCTTCATGGGAGGAGAAAGGAAGAACTTGTAATGTTCTTGATCAGAGGTCAAGATAGATCCTACTCTGTGTAATAGCACACACAGCTTGTGCTGGTTTTAATCAGCTTTGTCTTTTTGTATTTAAAGGCACAGGATAGAAGTATTTAGATTTGAAAAGCAATGTAACTACAAGTGATGTGCACCTGCTAGAGCCAAGATTCATTCATAGTTAAGGGAAAAACATCCTCTGTAAATCTCATGGTGGAATGAATTCACTCACGCAAACGGCAGAATTTATCTTGGCTTCAGTGGTGTGAATACCAAATAAACCCCAGAAACAGAACAGATAAGGCTCCAGATTTTCAGCAGTGTAGTTTGGATGTTGTCTATTCCAGAATGTCAAATGATTAGCTCTCTGCACGATTTTTTTATACTAATTACTGACTTCACTTGCTGGAAAAAGTAGTAGATGGGCATTCAAGAGGTGAAATCTTTGCTGTAGGATTAAGTGATCTCTCTGATTTTGAAAGCAAAACTGACTGGAAGCAGAGGTAAACCAAGTCTTTATGGTGCAACTTTGCTTTTCATCACACTACAAAGGCTTCTTACCCCATAGGCAGTAACCATGATCCCTTTTCATGCATGTGTTTACTTTTGGCAAGTAAACAGCTGTGATGCAGACACCTTTCTCATTTGTGATGGGTTGCTTAAATGCAATGTGAAAATTACAAGAGAAATAACATGCTGGAACTCTTTGTGACCCAGTATGTTTCCTGTCTTCTCATGACTAGTAATTTTGTGTGATACCTGTCTCTAGTATGGCATATTACGTGAGCTGTGCCTAGTGGTGTCCACCTCGAGTCCATCTCCACCAGTGGAGCTCACCTCCCCATTGAGGAGTAGTGGCATTGTCTCAGCATGGAAAATTCCAGGGAAAAAACCCACCCTAAACTAAGCATTCTTTCCTTGCCTTTGTTTTGTTTCAATTTTTGATCAGCTGGGGGCAGCACAGATGAAGTGAGTCTTTTGGCAAGCCCACTGGAGTGAGGAGTGGGGAAATGGCTTTGTGTGCCAGGACTGAGGGAATGTTGCATGCGAGGGCAGGCGCAGTATTAAGAAGATGTTACTGAGTCATTTGGATAATAAACCAGTGGGTTTAGTTTAGGCTGAGGTAGAACTTTGTAGGGTCTCTGAATGAAAGCCAGATGATGAAACTGGATATGGTAAAGAGCGACAAGCCAGCAAGGATCCTCAGAAAAAGCATTGCCAGAGCAAAGAGTTGGAGAAGACAGTTTTCTTGCCATTGTAGAACTAGTATTTGGTTTAGTAAGAATATTGTATATCCGTACACTGTCTGGGTGAAAGCATGTGCTTCTCTGTCCGCCAGATATTTAGGTGCTTCATCTTAGAGAACTGTGTCGTTGAGTTTTGGGGGAGGCTTTTTGCTCTTCAGACTTCTGAAGCCTAATTCTGATATTTTTCCTATGAGTACTGATGGGGGGAATGATCATTCTGCCTTTCAAGCAAGATGAGAAACAGCAAAGCCATTAGCACACGTGCTACAGGGACGGCTCTGCTCCATCCCCAGAAGGGCAGCATGCCCCAGCAGAGCATCCAGTTTTCCATGTGCATGGCAACATCCAAGCTGGGGTCAGTGAGCCAGCTCTCTTGGAGCTCTCCTAAGAGTTATTGCAAATAACTTGTCCAAGTCACGCAGTTGTTACACCCTGGAACAGGCCAAAGGTTAGCTGCAAAGGTGCTTAATTATTTTTTTCCCTTTTAAAAAGTAAATATTTACAGATATAATTGTGAAAGACCAGAAAAAAAAGAAAAAGCAAGTGAGCTATATCTTGATCAAAGTGCACTGCTGTGCACTTCCCCTCGGCACACTGCTGGTCCCCTGGCAAGCTGCCTGAGGGAGCCAGGGCAGCCACCAGCTCGTGTTGCAGTTCGTACACCTGACGTGTAGCCGAGGGCCAGCGCCGCCTGCTCGGCGTGGGAACGGCTTCCCAAAGCCACCGTCCTCAGCCTTGCACTGCTTAATTAAAATACCTCGTCCAGGGGCTGTTTATAATGGCAGCGCCAACCTGCGCGTTGTGCTCTTTGTTTTTCCTCTTGTTTTATTTCCCCCCTCTCTGATGTGTTGCACACAGTCAGGGAGGCACCACATGGGTTGCTGCTCTGAGACACTGACAAGTGAGGAAATTAAATTCTGAGGCAGAATCGGTTAAAAGCATGACTGAATCAGTGTTGTTTTTCTATGACAACTGAAACAACATAAGTATCTTAAGGTTTTATTGCTAATGAATATTTTTAGGGCAGTAATTTTTTTTCATTTTCCTTATACCAAGACCCTTTTCAATACATTTTGGGATTTTAAAATTTATTTTTAAAGAGAGTAGAAGCAATTGAGTTCAGTAGGACACTGTTAGATAAAAGCAGTGATAGATTGGAGTTCCAGCTTTGTAGAAAGTAGCATGGCACCATGAGTGCTACTGTTTTGTTCCAGGAAAAATATATATTTAGATGGTTATTCATACTTAAAAAAGCTTATCAGAACCGTAAAACCTGGAGTGATGTCTGGATTTAAAAACTTAAGACAATGGAGCATTTGCTTATATTGTTTAAACAACTGTTTTGACTGTACTGGACAAAATCTTGTATTTTTGTTCAGGTAACCCAACTGAAAGGAAACCATAAGGATGGTCTGATCTCACGGATGCTTACGCACGCGTTTTGGTCTCTTCTGCCTCTCTCCTTCACTGAGTCTACTTACAAGTGAAGTACAGGCAAATGTTGTTACAGAATTGGGTCTTGCTGTACAAAGTTATTAGAAAAACTAAAAGGGTGCCCTTTAATTCCTTTAGGAAAACACATAATTGCACTGATTGCTGCTTTTCTTCACTGCTTTGTGCATCTCTTCTGTTCTATACCATATTGCATATTAAGTTTTATAGAGCACTGATTGTTGTTGTATAAAAGTGTGCTCCTTGTTATCACTAAAAGGAGTGTTATCCTTAATAGATATCATATGGTCTCAAATGATGTTTTCTTTGGGAGGACAAAATCCTGTTTGGGAGGAAATCACCCCCTCTTAAGGGGGCTCACAAGGAGGGTGATTATAATGGCACAAATTGTTGGTGTCAGTGTTTAGAATTGCATGTTTTGTCATCCTAGGAGTGCCTACGTGTATTTACAATAGGGTTTTCTGTTAAATTTGCTTTAAAAAAACCCACTGAGCTAAAAAGTTTGAAAGGAACAGCTTGAGGAATTTTTTCCATCAAGATACAATCAAGGGCAGGAAATCGTAGAAGCAGAGTTGTGGTTTTGCCTCCATTTTTTTATTAGTTAATTAAACTATAACAGCTCTTAACTTCATTTTAGGTTAACTGTTCCTAGAGTTCAGAAATATTTTAAGAGGTCAATAATGCTTTCTTTGGCTTTCGCTCATTCGGTGTGGGATAAGGAGTCGCAGTCAGCAGGGCAGAGTTTTCCAGATGTGCCGCAGAGCGTGTGTGCGTGCGCTCGTGTCGGCAGTTGTTGCTGGTGGGAAACCATCCATCTTTCTTCATCTGTGCACCACCCTGCACGGGTGAGCCACAGGAGAGAAACGTGGACATCTGTAAGGGAGCTTAGACTATCTGGTTAAAGCTCAGAAGCTCTGGGTAGCTGCAACTACCAGTCGACACACGTTGTTACTCGGAGATGGAGAGTTGCTGGGACTGATTGGGAATACTGGGAGAGGGGAGTCTATAGGGAAAACAGGTACACGTTTAGTTTCACCAGAAGCAAAAAAAACCCTAAGACCCCACTGCAGCATGGGTTTTGCCTGTGAATTGGGGATGTTTCTTTTTCAAAGTGCTGTGAGGCATCTATCTGTCTGCATTTTCTTCTGGGCCCATAGAGCTGCGGGAAAGGGCATGTGAGGGAAGCAAATGGAGCCATGCAAGTGTCACAGAACTGTCTTTTATAATGGGAGCTGTTCCAGCACTCGGAGCCAAATCCTCTTTCAGCAGAAAGGGTAAAATTTAGCAGAGCTGGGAAAGGGGAGGGGAAACACAGCACCACCTCCTGCTGACACCACTGAAGTTTCCCTCGGCTTTCCCTCTCTCTCCCTCTGTGCATATATTTTCTTTTTAATCAGCTGGGGCTCTTCCCTCCCCTGCCTTTTTTTTTTTACTGTAGTTTTATGGTTGGAATTCTGCTTTTCTAATTTCTCTTGTTTCACATTTAACTTCTTCAGAGGATTTCATTAATAGTTATTGCAATTAAAAATAATAAATAAACTCAGCGCCAGCTGCTCGGATGGCTGCCGTGGCATATCTGGAACATAATGCAGTCTGTTCGGGGCAGCCACACAATGCAATTTATCCCCACACCTGAGGGAATGAATTTCACAACTATAATTGCTGCAATATAATTCTTATTAATGTTGTGCTATAATTCCTATTAATTCCAAAGGGCTAGTAAATGCATTAGGACTTGTCAACATATTATTTTACACTGTTTATGATCTGTAGAATTACACTCTTCAGTATCGTATTGCATAAAGAAATGCCTTCAAATTAGGGGGGGAACACATTTTCTGTTCAGGCACTGGGAAGGACAGAAGGATCCTGGTGTTCGAGAAGTAATGAAACTGCATTTTAAAATCAGTCGTTTGAACTTTCTGTGCCACACGGTTAACAGTTTAGGAAGATTTATTAATAATGCCTGTCCTGGTTATTAGAAAAAGAACCACTGGTGTCTTTATGAAGGAATAAATAACTACAAGAAGGATAGGGTTATAAAATTAAAAATAACTGCCTTGCAGCAAAGACAAAAGTGGGGAAATTACAAGTCATTGTAACTGATGTAATAAATGCAGAATGGGTTATCTTGCTGTGCTTTTATTTATTCTGGTTTTATCTGACTGCCCTGCTCTTCTAGGTAGTGAATATGATGAGGAGGAAGTAGACTATGAAGAATCAGACAGTGATGAGTCCTGGACTACAGAAAGTGCTATCAGCTCTGAAGCTATCCTTAGTTCAATGTGCATGAATGGAGGGGATGAGAAACCTTTTGCCTGTCCTGTTCCTGGATGTAAAAAAAGATACAAGGTAAGCAGTAGCACAGACCTACCTTATTTCCTCCTGATGCTGTGGCAGGGAGAAACCTCTAAAATCACTTTGCACCTTTCTTGTTTAATAGGCTTTTCACAATTATTTTAATGATATTTTAGCAGATTATTTTATTCACTGGTTTCCTCTCAAGCACAGCCAAGTTATCAGTTTTACAAGGGATGCCTTTTGCATCTCTGTCTGTCAAGAGAGATTACATATAGTAACTCCTTTGCATTACGCATTTTAATGAGCTTTCTATTATTTAGACAAATTAACTGCAGAATGCAGGAGGTACTAGGAGCAAAATAATCTCTTGGGTCCCTTTTAGAGACACAAAATAAAAAGCTTCTGCCCATCTGTGCCAGAATGAATTCCTTCTGCTTAACTGCTGGAGATACTGTCTCTTCCTTAGTGAGACTGTGCCCAGGGTACATTTTCTGGTAAAGATGATGTGCAGAATGTACTGGTTAATGTCTTGCAAGTCAGAATTCATCTCAGAAAGGCAGAGTCTTGGACAGATTCTGGCATCATTCTGTCCTGGGTCTAAGTCCCCATGACCCATCTGTACAGACTGCAGCGTATCCCTCTGTGTGACATGCTGGAAAACAATTCTCCAAGCCACACACACAGCCCCTTCTTTAATTACTCTCCATCATGAGAAATGTTTGTCTTTTTATGGGAGTGAAACATGTTTAAATTTGAACCTCGAGCTGCCGATGAGGAACACGCCGTGATGTGGTGAGGACAGGAATGTTGCTATACGTGAGTTAGTGCAGGGACAGATGAAATGGTATTGAACAGCTTGGGCTTCAGTATGGTATTTTCTAGCCGTTCACATTTGGGAGCAGAAATAGCATGTTGGCACACTTCCTTTAAATCATTTTCTGAAGTTTTCGCATAAACTACTGGAAAGTTCAACCACTGACCTATACCCTAGAAAAAGCAGTGGTAGTTGGGTTAGTTTTATGTTAGTTTCATTTTATGACTTCTCCTTTAAATAAATGACAAGTCTGGACTTAAAAGAAAACAGAAATATGAAATAGAAATGTAGGAAGACCAATAGCAGTTGAGATAAAACAGCTGTGACAAGAATGAATAAACTGTGCATGAAACTGCATAGTGGATGAAAATGTGTTTCAGTGGCGCTGCAGCTGGGGTTAGTTTTATGTTAGTTTCATTTTATGACTTCTCCTTTAAATAAATGACAAGTCTGGACTTAAAAGAAAACAGAAATATGAAATAGAAATGTAGGAAGACCAATAGCAGTTGAGATAAAACAGCTGTGACAAGAATGAATAAACTGTGCATGAAACTGCATAGTGGATGAAAATGTGTTTCAGTGGCGCTGCAGCTGCTCTGGGCTGCATCCACAGCAGTTTTTTAGCTCACTGCATACTGACAGTACTTCTCCTTAAAGCATGGACAGGAAAGCTGTGTCACTTTTTCTTAGTGATGCAGCAGTCTGTTTGCAGAGGTTAGTCTGAACTGTATAGTGTTTATTCTCCAGTTACAGGAAAAACTGAACACCATCTCCAGGCCAGGGCAGACGGGATAAATGTTCTCGGAATCTTCGCTAGTATTACTTTGCAGATATAGCCACTTTATTTGGAATCAACATTTTTCTTGTACAGGATAGAAGCTGTGCCAGATGAAGGGTATGGTATAAAAGCTAAATCCCTAGCTCAGGAAGCAAACAAGCCATGGTGATTGTTAGAAGTCGCTGTGCCTAGAGGGCATCTATGCATTGCAGAAAACATTCACTTAATGGCACAGGCTAGAAGGAGAACCCTGTAATTTGCTATATCCTGTCTGTTCTCTGTTTGACTGCCAGCCCTCTGTCTTTTTATTGCCCAAATAAGCAAGCTGTTTCTGCTATCTCACTGCCTTCATCTCAAATGCATGAGGACTGTCTATAAGGGATACCTTGTATACCATTAATGTTAAAGCAGTTGGACAGGGAACAAACTAAGGACCCTTGGAGAGGCTGACGGAGAGCAGCAGCAATTAAAAAGTCCTGTGTTTTCCTAAGAGTCTCACCTCTGTTCAGTCCTGATAGGAAAACACATTTACTTAAACTCTGCCTCACCTCATTTCTCTTTTCTGTGGGCTCTGTTTCCTCCCTTTTTTCTGTTCAGCCTGATTTTTTTCTTTTTACATCTTTATCTTTGTTTCCTTCCGTTTAGCTTTGTGTCAGCTGTGTTTCTTGTTTCCTCTTTATCTTCCTTCTGCTTAACCCCCTCCCCTGATGAATTATTTGTGGAGTCTGGGCAGGGAGTCCTGTGATCAAAGCACTGGGATTTTCTGGTGGGTACTGGATAATCACAGTCAGGACTGTAAAACAATTACAGTGCTCCAAACAGGAACACAGACATGCACATACAGTAATTGCCAGGCTCACTTTACGGCTGAGAAAGGATGCATTCCTTTAGGGAGTGAGGAGGAAAGGAGGATATACACAGTTTTCTTTTGTCTGGCCTTAGGTGACGTAGGTTGGAGAAGCAGAAGTGGTATTTTTAGAGATGTTATTTGTATTCCAGTACTGCCTAAAGGACCCAGTAGGGATGGGGCACCTTTTTGCAAACAATGTACAAGGATAAAAGATGGCCTCTGCACTGAAAAGTCATTATGGAAAGGTAAATAAGACAAGAATGAGTACAACAAATACTCCCAAGGAATGGGCTGGGGCAGACAATGGAAACTGTACTCAGAACATGTTTATAGACAAGCCCAGATGAGTATCAGAAGCCCCTGTTGGCCTCCTGCCCAGCTGCTATCTCCTGGCACTTTCCCATAGGCAATGCAGAAGAGAGTCATAAACATTTAGCTGGTCATCAAGAACTTGAGTTTCTTTAAAAATAAATTTGCTTGCTTATAAGATGTATTGGTACCCTGTATAGTATGGCACAGATTTTCTTGAGGAGCCACAGATTCAGGGGTGTGGGGGAACACTTTTAATTATATGTAAATTTGTTTGTGGAATAATCAGAAGCAGCTAAATGAACAGGGAGCACATTAGTTCAGAGGCTGGTTTTAAGCCTCTAGAAGTCAATTTCTGAAGCCTGCTATCTTCTCTAGTTATGCTTGCTGACCTAGAGAAGAAATTATGGGATAGTTTGTTGCTTACGGATATTTTTTCTTCTTCCTGTGATTCATCTTTGATGCCTGAAATTTGATTTTTAGAAAATCATCTGCATGATTCAAAGGAACCCAAAGATCTTAACCTTGTTTCTGTGGAGTTCACCCTCACCAGATTTTGCATTGACATCCACATTTAGACACCCTGTCCAGAAGTGTGTGGGGATGGAGTAGTTAACATGCTTTGCAAAATACCACCTGTAGGAGCTAATATGGGGATTTATGAAGATGGCAGCTAGTTTTCCTTGTATTCAATGCCACCCAGGTGTGCCAGTTATTTGGTCTCTAGCTCTGGAGAAGGACATTCAAAATGTGTACATGATGTAGATAAACTTACTGAGGCAATGTCCACAGAGCAAGTGAAGTTTGAGATGTAATAGATACAACAAACCCCACAAATAATGCGTATATACGATGATAGAGAAAACCCTGGAGTATTAGTCCTAATTTTTCTAGTTTGTGCAAATACAGTAATAAAAGAACAACAGATTTCTGTGCATACAAAATGTAGCTTATATGCATTGCTTTTTTTTGGCCTTGGGCAAGAAAAGTGGTACCTTTTAAGACTGCTTGGGCTTGTCTGTCTGGCAGGATGGGGGTCCTAGGCCTGCCAAGTGGGGCAAACCCCCACCAGGAAGGCTGTCTAGGAGTGGTGAGACTCAGCAGAGCTTAGGGAAGGAGAATATTGAAGTGAGAGAGGGAGTGAAGGGAATTTACTTGAAAGAAAGGAGCAAGGCAGAGATCGCAATTTGGACAGAGGAACCAGACCCACAGAGTAAACTTCAGGAGGTAGAGCCAGGAGAACAAAAACATATATGAATGTCCAAGGCTGAAAGAAGAAATCTCCCAAGCCATCCTTTTGACATCTCTTTTCCTGCTTGAATGGGGTGACAAGTTCTCTGCAGTGCAGTGGCTTTGTGAGTCCTGCTGTGCAACAAGAGCCCTTGTGTCTGTGCAAGGCAGGTAGTGCCAGTCTAGACTTCCCTATCACCTCCTGATCTGGCCCCAGGTTAATAATTGTTTCCTTCTGTTTGAGCTAGTAGAGTGCTCTTCTCTACTGCCATCTTCTTCCTCAGCTATTTGTGTGAGCAGCCTGAGTAACCAGAGTAATAAAAGTGATGTATGGGTTTGGCCATGGGTTTTGCTGTACCTTAACGAACTCAGCCCAGACGTACAACAAAGTGTTTACATTGCAGCAGTGGAAAATGTGCCGAGGAGTCCACTGGAATTCTAACAACAGTTTCCTTTTAGACAGGAGTACAGGTCAAATTTCACATTACAAAAACTCTTCTGCTCTGCATGGTTTGCTGTTCTTCAAGGCCCAATTCATCCCACGTAGGTTTCTCCCTTCATCAAAGCCTGTGGTGTACTGGGGCTGAGCGGATCGTTAAAACATCTGGATCAGGAGAGGAGTACCATTGGGAAATAGCAAGGATATTTGTGATTGCAATTTATGGCATCTGTAGTAATTGATGCAAGTTCAAAAGTATCTTAAAGTGATTTCTTAGAAAAATTAGAAGTCTAAACAGGTTTCTGGTTAGGAAAATAGCTTCATTATAGGGTGATAGGGTTTGGGGACAGCTTTGTTTCTTAAATTTCACTGCAGTAGCGAAAGTTTAGCTGTCCCAGGATCTCAGATTACTTGCAGGGGATTCACCTGACTTCTCTCAAGGCTGATGTGTAGCTTTGCTGTGCTCTTGCAGTCACAGTGGTATAGCATTCTGCCTCCTCTGGGTGCTCTGCACCCACACATAACCTGCACTAACAGCTCATAGTCACATATCTGGTTTGTGCTGGAGGTGGAAGATTCTTGGCTCACACATCTCAGGAGGCAGCTGTGCAGGAGTTATCCAGCATTGTTAAGGGTGTAAAGGACAATTCAGGGGCTGGATTTGCAACTTCAGGTGAAGATTCAGTGCATGGATACTCCAGGGGAGAGGAGCATGAATTTGTGGGCAGAGCAGTTGCTTGCAGTCTTGCACCATAATACTCTTTTTCCAGGGTGGATATTTGAGACTGTTTTTCTATGAGTTCCACTTACTGTAAGCTGTGCATTGATAAAGCTGAACGTGTTGCTTAAAAGAGCCGAGGGGACTCTCTGTTGTGTGTAACACCAGGCAGTGCTTCACAAAGACAAAATCCCTAAAACAATTCAGTGGGTTAATTAATATCCAGGTTCTTAATTGATTTTAGCTCTTTTATTTTAATATGCTTTTAAAATCGCTGAGATACGTACCTGGAAACTTTAAGACAGGACAGAGTAGAACCTCAGAGCTGTCTCTTTGTCACAAATTGTCTTGGTATCTTCTTGGGTTTCCTCCTAGAAGCTCTTAACAAAAGACAATTTGCCATCCGTTATTCTTTCAGAAATCCCAAGTTCTTTCAGTGGGAGCAGATAAGAGACTCCAGTATCCTGCATAGAACAGGATCACAACAGCTTCTTCCATTTTTGCCAGAAATATGTGAAAAGGAAGTCGGATATGATTATGATGTGTGTTGAGTAAAGTTTATGATTGCTTTGGCAGCAGTGTGCCCTGTTTCCCTTGCCAGTGTGACAGGGTGTGTGCTGCAGTGCTGTGTTTCACTCTTTCTCTCCAAACTAGTGGGGATCAGTTCTCTATTTCAACTGTGGAATAGTCCCAAACAATAGCTGTTTTGAAGATGGCTTCTCTGGATTCTTTTCTGTCTCCTGTGTAACTCTTTGAGTTAAGCGTTCCCTGCAGTTAATTCTTCAGAGGCAATGTGTAAACTATCAGAATTTGCTGGTGCCTAAAGACACATCTAGAAACAATGACACAGAATGGAACAGACCCACCACAGGGGGAGCCTCAGCTTTTTGAAGAAGTGTGACTCGAGTTTTCATGCCAATTCTTTGTTTGCTCGTAAATGAACCTCTGAATAAGATTTGTCAGTGCTGTATGAAAAAGATGTCAGGAAGCAAAGAACAACCATGTGTGAGTCCATTAAATGGTATTCTTTGGAAAGTGCCGCGTGTTGGGAGATAAAAGTCAGGGTTGCCCAGGCAGGTAAGTTTTGTACGTTAGAACTGCACAGATTACTCTGTTCCTTGTCCCACCTGGTACCACGTGAGCACAGCACATGCATAACACCCAGCAGGGGCTCCTGGCAATTGGTGTGAGTTTGCCCATAATGCTGATCCAGTTTCTGTCTTTAACTGGAGGCTAAGCCCTCGTGGGCCCACTTGACCACTAACACTTTACTTTCTCCCTCGCAGAATGTGAACGGTATAAAGTACCACGCCAAGAACGGCCACAGGACACAGATCCGCGTACGCAAACCCTTCAAATGTCGCTGTGGAAAGAGTTACAAGACAGCTCAGGGCCTGCGGCACCACACAATCAATTTCCATCCCCCCGTGTCTGCTGAGATTATCAGGAAGATGCAGCAATAACATGCTGGTCACAAATGTGCCAAGAAATCCTCACCAGCAGTTGCTGATTTTGAGAACAGCCACCTTTTTTCAGGGGAAGCATTCAGCAACCCTTAAAAAAAAAAAAAATTAAATGCATGCTTTAAAATTTTCTGTAATTTTGGAATGATGTATCTTTGTAGAGTTAATGATTTTGTACATTTGCACATGTAATCATCATACCCATTTTCATTACTTTGAGATAAGGTGCTATAAAAGCTATAGGTTCTTCAGAACATTTTTCTCCAAACCAACAACAAAAGACCTAGGGGGATGCTGCGTATTTAGTTGTACTGACGTGTGGAACAGGAGGAGAGCTTGGCACTGACATCCTTTCAAGATTGTAATGTGATGAAGACTTTCGATGCATCTGTCAATGTGTGTGTGCAAAACCAAAACAGTACAGCCCTCGACAAACTCTAGTTAACATGCCTTACATAACGGAGTTAGCAGTGGAGTAGCCAGTCTTTTAGGTAATGGAAATATAAATAAGAAAGAATGTTTAACATAATATGCTAAAAATATTTTCATACTTAAATAACATACATAAAAGGTGTGCTTGCTGTATTTTATATTATCTTGCAGATCTTGGTTTTTTTCCTCCCTCTTGAAATGCTGAAAATCTTGCCATTGGAACTAGTAAACAATCACTTTAGTGTTAGCAATGACTTTTTTTTTCTCTCTGTACAAGATGTCATATTATGTCCATGCCCATCAAACTTTTGAGGACCAATATCCCAGTCCAACTAAATATCTACCCCTGAACTATCTGTTAGAAAGACACTTGGAAATACTTAAGTGCAAATTTATGTGTGTGTGAGAAACAATTATCTTCATCTCAGATGAAGTTTTAAAGCACTTTGTAGTTCTCTATTGCCAACAGATTTAATGTTTTATGTGTTGCCAATTCTTGCAACTACCGTACGAGCATGTGCCTGTGGTTGCAAATAAAAACGAGAAGTTCTGCGCATGGTTTAAGGAGGTCCATTCTTCGTGCTAAGGGAGTCTTGATGCCTCTCCCTCACGTTCATTGTGTTTTGAGATTTTCTTTGTGCATTTTTTCGCTTCTCATTGTAGGTCACTGCATTCCATTTGGAAGTGTCTGTTTAGCTTTACGATTAATTTTGCTGAAATATGACATATGAGCCTTACTGAAGATTAAGTGCTTCTTGCAGCAGGTGGTCAGAGACTGACTTAAAAGCCAACATGAGAGCACTTCGTGTCTGGACCATACCTGAACATTTGTTGCTTTGCCATCCTGCCTTGAGCATTCTTCTCTCACAAGTGCTATTCCTGGAGTTCGGGGGCCCAGGAGCAGAGGTGGCACCCTCTGCCTGCTCCGGCCTCAAACAACCCCCAACCTGGCAAGGGCTGGGGAGGAACTCACGGTGTTAACACAGTCATCGCCTTGGCTTAGTTCCTGTTCTTTTAAGTGCAAAAGAAAGCTCACACAAAGGAGGAATGAGCTTTCCCTCTATTTTTTTTTCCAAAGCTTTAAAGGAAAACTTTGTAAGGATGACAATTACCTATTCTCCAGCAGAGTGTGTGTCTCTTTAAAACACTTGGGAATCATCCTACTGAATAGGCATTTAGAACAGCTGAAGTGAAGTGAAACATCTCTCAAATCCCAGAGAGGTGACTGTGACAGCAGTGCTGTCAGACAGGTTTAAAGGATGATCCAGACATGAGAGTTACTGGTACTCACAAGGCCCCAGGTGGCCACTTCCCACCTTCTGCAGCTTTGGCAACAGATCTGGCCAACAAACACATTTTGGCTCTGCTCCTAGTGCAAGAACTAAAGGCTGGGTGAGTTTGTTCAACAGCTAAACAGTCGTAAAACGTCATTGTTGCATGTAAATTCCTTTTAACTATAAAAATGAAATTCCAGTTTCTATTTACCTATTCATTGTGACAGTATTATTAAACAGGTAAAGATGGGACTATTTTGTTATACTGTGTATAGTGAATGTATTGTACTGTGTCTGTGAAAAGTGTGCTTTAAATTATATTTTCATATGTTTTGTTGGGGACAAAGTACTTTAAGTTTGAAAGTGACAGAGGTTTGTTTTAGAACTGAAGGCAACTTAAAGAATTCCTGTCAGGAAAGCTGCTTATAAATGTAAATCAAATCACATTTAAAATAAACTGCCTCTGACCTAAACCGACTGTTCTCTACTCATTCCTAACGTAAAGAGTTAAGTTCTGAATCTGTGCATAGTCTTTTACTTCTTCATTTCACTCTGGTATCATCAAACTCTTAGAGGCTGTTCTAACTGTTTTCATGTGCTGTTGAGTTACAGTAAGAAGAAAAAAAGCGAACAAAATGCTCTTTCACTGCTTCCATGCTTTACCTTGGGCCGTTTCTCGACGTGACACTCAGTTACAAAAATCTTCAGCCTGCGAGTGGCACACAAGCACTGATGAGCAGCTGCTGCCCAGGACACTGTGATTTATCCACGTCACACAGTTGTTAATAATTCCTGCACTGAACAGGATATTGCAGCCAACAGAAGCAACTCCAAGTCTTAATCCCCGAGTTTCCCTCTCAGACAAAGAACACAAATAGTGGTGAGGACCAACCCTTTCTTTGTCATACAAAGCTGAATCATCATTTACTCTATGTAAAGTCTAAACTGTATTTCAAAATGAGCAGCAGGAAAATAAGGACTAGTGACTCCATGAATAATTCTGCTTTTAATGTAACAAGACTACTGTACAACAAGTGGAAAGCAAATTTACTTAATACAGTTAAAGTAAATATAAAATGTTTAGATATACACACATGTTTTTACTTATTGGAAAGAAATACATAACGTTAAAACGCAGAAGGTTTTAAAAGCTCTAAGCCAAAAGGAACACAATCCACTGTTGTGAAAACAGAACAATATTTCCTACTGAATGTAATTGCAACATAATGGCAATTATTTTTTTAAACAATTACTTTTAGGCATTTAAGCACAGCAGCTTCTTTCAGCTCAAAAATACAGCCTTAAAGTGTAACGTGCCTCATTTAACGTTACCCCTTAAGGCAAACATTCTCTATGTAAAACTCAAGTATTTGTCATTCCTTTTGCTGCAAGCCTGTAATCTCACAGTACATGCATCTACATCTCAGAAGTGTACTAGAAAACTATATTTTCATAGGGTAAGTAATGTAACTTTCCAATTTGCCTGTTACTCAGAGAAAAGCTACACAGATTTGCTAGGAGATACACCTGTTTGTTACATTTTTTTCATGGTGCCTTACCTACAAGGTTAATAGAAACCACAGGTGTTTTTGGTGACTGGTTTTAAATGTAGCTGAAGAGCACCATGAAGCTGGTCTCGTTTTTTCTGCGGCTAAGTCACTCCTGTGTCCTTAGAAATTCCAGTAAGTAGGGGAATAAATAGCTACACAGACAAGGTGGGGGTTTCTTTAGTACAATGTTAGGCAGGAAAGATAACCCCATAGCAGCTTACAGTCACAGCTCGCCACAGCTCTCCTTAGAGTACATGAGCTTTTAATCAGAAGTTTGCACTGCTACAGAAAGCTGCACTGGTTCTGTTCTGTAGGTGGACTACTCAAAATGGTGGGTTTTTTAAGCTACACTGCAAAACAAAGTGTTTAATCAAAATTTAATACATTCTGATCGAAGTGTGTCTGAACGTGCCTCTCAAACCCCTGCTGGTCATAGTCAGGTGGGAACTGCTCACTGCACATAGGGCAAACCTTCCAGTGGCTCTCAACATGTTCCTCAAACTTGCTCTGGTCATAGTTTGGAGGAAACATCACATCACAGAGAGGACATTTCTTGTGCACATCAAAACTGCATGAGACAGAAAAAAGGAAACATTTATTGCTAACTGAAAGTAAGATCCTGCTGCCACCAACACTAAGAGCTTTACTACCAACTTAAATTTGAGCAGACTTTGTATGTAAGTATCCTACAGTTAATTTACATATTTCTGCTGAAAGCCCTCAATACAGTTAGAGCAGTTTTACACAGGAATTCCAAAACAACCTGGCATTTTAAAAGCGACATGATTTTGACATAATTCCAGCTACCACTGAATACAAATCTATTGAACGCCTTAATGGCCAAACAGTTTCATGGGAAACCACTCTCTCTGCTCATAAATGCTTGCTCTTAGCAAACATAACACTTTATAAAAGCTCTAAACTTAGGTTCACAATTAGGTTGGAGAGAGGGGGGGGGAAAAAACCCCCAAAAGTTATTCATTCATTTGCTAAAAAAATTGACAAATTCCACCAAAGTAAGGTATAGCACAAACAGCCTGCCCAGTCTCACGGCATATTCACTGCCAGTTAATTGTAAACCAAACACTGGAAGTGCTTGGTAGCTTTTCACCTCCAACCTCCACCCCTGAGTGAAAACAAAAAATAAAATCCAGTTCTGTAGAAACCTATCCATGCCCTGAAAGACCAATAAAAGATAACATCTACCTGGAATCAAAGCAGAAACCTGTCCCACGCTCACGCAAGAGAAGACTTGGAGGATCAGGAGCAGAAGGTACAGCATTGTCATCATCCTGTTGGAAAAAAAATATTTTAAAGAATAACCCCTATAAACAGCTTTTTTTTATTCTTCTCCATATGTATTTTTGTTACCAAGCATAAACATGGATGAAGTTTACCTTTCACTTTGTACTCTCTGCTGCACAAGTTTTACTTTAGTGCATCTTAGCTCTATTCTGCAATTCAATAATGCAGCACAAACCCAACTCACTGAAAGGTGGAAATACAGATACACTCAAGCAAGAGTTTTGAAACTCTAACTCCTAGATCATATTCCTTTTCATCTCACAGACACCTTGCATGAAGGAGTTAGGAGTTACTTAGCTGATCTTCAAAGCTGGATGTGCAAGGGACCACATGTACAGCACATGTGGTGTATGCTTTATACAGATAACTCATATGTGTTAATTCACACATACTTCATTTTCAGGCTAACATACTTTGTCCTAATGAAGAGTTAATGGAAACAGGGCAGGATGGGAAAATTCCCTCAATATTTTTCTTCTCCTGACAACACCTGTTTAGTTTCAACTGACATTTCCATAAGGCCTGCTCTGATAGGTGCTAGCAACAGACATATCTTCCAGTCTAACTTGCTTTGCACATGAGTTCTGAAATATTAATTGTTCCTTTTGTCACAAAGAGACAGGTGGGTGGATGTATTAAGTAAGAAAAACTATTTAAAGTACTCTCACGCTACAAAACAGCTTATATAGTGCCAAAATCAAGACAAGCTTGCTGAATACCAGACTGAAGCAGACCAGGACTTAACTAAGAAAATTAATGTGCATCTTCCATGAAAAAACCAGTTCCACTACAAACATTGGCCAAATTAGCGTTTAAGTCCCTAGAAAACACTTTCTTGCAATTCTTTACTGTTTGTTGCTCAGTTACTTCCTGAACACAGGGCATTTCTGTCACAGCACTTAGTAGTACTTGGTTACAAATGACTAGATGGATGAGGCACTTAAAAGGCTCTTCAGCCTCAAACTCCTTTGTCTGGACCAGTCCCAATGACGAATGCATAGGGTGTTCCTTATATTAAAGGTTATTAGTTTTTGCTAAGTAAGGAGTCAGGATTTACCAATGGTGAGTATCAGCTTGGTATATAAGGGCATTAACCTAAATCATGTGGCTAACATGGTACAGGTGGGTCTCTTCCCAATCACAATAACTAATGCATTCAACAAACCCCAACTTTGAGAAAGCATCTCTACACAGACCTGAACACCCAACTCACAGAACACAGACCTCATCATTCCTGAAGTCACCCATCTTCCATACCAGTGTCAGAATAAAACAGGAATCTTAGTTTCCTTATTAGAAAAGGAAACCTCTTAGTCTTACACACAGATTCAGCTGGGAAATGAAGGATGTGCCTGTGACACATTACTCAAGTAAAAGTGATCTGGCCCAAGCCCTCCATTGACACCAACTGTGTGCTGGGAGAAGCTTTAGCTGCTTTAGCACTGGCTTTCCCACATGCCTATTACTGCTCTACTGCCACAGGCCATGGGAAGCCAAAGATTTTAATTAGAATCAACAAAATGCAAACTGATTTATACAAAGGTTTTCCCTATAAAAAATTTATTTTACAAAAATCTGCACTGCCTGTCCACCTTATTTAAAGCTTTCAAAAAAACCCCAACCCATTAACCTATTAGCTTGGTTTGGGTGAGTTTTTCCCTATTACTTCCCCTAGTTAATTTAATTATTTGTCCAGTACAACCTCCCTCCTACTTTTATTTTGGTCTAAGGTCATTTAGCTTACTGCTAGTCACTCGGTAAGCTAAAATTGTTTCCATCTTCTGTCTTTTCTCTCAGCTTCTGGCAAGTGATACCCTACTACATACGAATGTAACATTCCTCCCTGTTCCTTTTTGAGAAACTGATGTGAGAAAGAGCACGATGCTTCACTCTCCATGGACTCTCTGCACTGTCCTGCATGGCTGCCCTGCAGGCACTTGCTTCAACAAAGGCAAGAGCACATTAAAGTAACATTAATTTTGGAAAGCTACAGCTTACTCCTGACCCAGTTCAATGAATCATAAAACTCAGACTGCGTGTCCCTCACGGCAGCTTCTGCCCTGGGCACCACATAAGAATGACAATACTAAGTATGTACTGATATTACCCACTTAAGGTACAGAAAGTGTCTCTTCAGTGTACTTTCACTCTTGGCCAAGTTATAAAGATCAGTTCTTAACCTTTTGATACACCTAACCCAGACAAGGAGAAGGCAAATGTCTCCATGCTGATCTCAGTGCATGTTACAGAGATTACTGTGTAACTAAGGAATGGCCAAACAGGAACAATGAGAACTTTATCACAGCCTCAGAGTACTTCCCAGCTATTCTAATTACAAGTTGCAGAAAACTGCATTCAGTCACCAATGACTACAAATTCGCATGCACTGCCCTGAGGTAACTTGGAACCTCTGGGAAACACAGAAAAGGTCCCATTGTATTGGACTCTGTCAAATACAATACAACAACTGTCTATTTCTGCTGTTTCAGATGGACAAAACTCCTGAGTGTTCCGTGTAAAATGGGGAACTATATGAAGGGAGGACAGATCCCACTTATTGTGTTTCTCAGTCACTTACTGTCAGTTTCATCCAGCTATAACCAATGATCCATGCTTGATTATTACCAATGATGTTACATGTGCTTTTCAACCTGACATTTAAACACTCTCCCCTGGAAAAACCAACCATCCCCTAAAGGTTCAAAAGGCAAAACGAGGTGGTTAGCTGAAGCTGCTTTATAGAGAGTTTGACAACAATTGCTGGGACACCAGGCCTCAATGGCTCTGCCTATGCTGTATTTTAAGCACAGGCATCAGCTTACTTTCAAGACTCCATGGTTGAGTCATCCATGTTATTTGGATGGAAGCCCATACTCCCTATTTTGAGAAAGAAACAGCTTAATCTGCCCTTTGTGTAGACCCAGGGCCACCTCTCTTGCAGTCCAGACTGATGACCAGGGACATGGCTGTACATTCTTAGTCTGAGACCTCTACAGTGTCCTGCAGTGACGTAACACAGTTGTTTTTGAAAGAGACACTGTGTACCCCCAGGCTGGCACTATGGGTGTGTAGAGCAACAATTGCCAGGCCTTCTGATCTCAGAAGTTTGCATAATGAGGAATTATGGAATTATTAAGGAATTAAATTAAGGAATTATAAAGGATGCCTTTAAGATCATGACTTAACTATTATCACCTGACTGTACCTCTCTCTTTAGAATTGCCACAATGAGTTCCACAGATTAAATGAATCGTAAACATATAGTATGACACAACAAAGCACGGTTAAAAAACAGAGGGGATTTGCCACTAAAAGAGGAAGAAGGGAAAGCCAGACATTAACTGCCAGAGATAAGTGCAACTCTCCTACTTGTACTGAAACCAACCAGTATTGTCTCAAGTACTGCTTTCATAATAACAATTGTAAGCAGTTCCAAGATTGCCAAGCAGAAATAAAAAAGCTGTGTGACACAGTACAAGAAACACAGACTTAAACAATTCCCATCCCCAGGTCCTACAGATCATTTTATCATGCAGCAGGAAGTGAACTGATGCCCCTCTCAGGCCTCAAACAATGAACAGACAGCACTGACACAATGTGGGTACATTGGGAACAAGAGTACATAAGTTTTCTTTCTGTGATTCACCTCTGCTGTGGGAGGGAAATCAAATTCACTCCTTTAGGTCTCTCTGCAAGCAGTCTGCTCTCCCAAGAGATACCTGATACCAACTGCTTCTTTTGTGTCCCCCCTACACAAAAGACAGTAATTGGCTTCCCTGGGTCAGATCAGGCTAATAATGCATAGTGGGGTGTTTTTTGCTGAAAGAAAGGCCATTTTGGAGTCATCTCAAAAATACCCTGACCCAGTTCTCAGTTGCCAAAAGTTACACTTTCCATCTCCCACAAATCTACTGTGACTAACAACATTGTTTAAGAGTCTCGGGATAGTTATTCTGGGCTTGCTGCCAACTGTAATCAGGACTGCATTTCTAAAACTCACACTTTAGTATTAAATATATATGTTTTGTTTATGGATCTCTCCCATACTGCTAGAAATTCTTTGCTACAAATGATTACATTTTGGTCAATTAGGGGATCATGAGCAAATGGAAAGTTAGTGCTGAGCAGATGATGGCAGGACCTTGTAGCAAGTCAGCTATTCCACATAGAATCACCACTGTGCACGTGCTCATCTGGGCTAACTAACACACACCAGCTCATCCCTCTCTGAAATCATGGTTTAATGGGCCTACGAGTTCCAACAGCCAAAGCTACAAGAATTCCAGAAAGTCTTCAAGTCATATAAAACTAATGGGTTTTTTTATGCCAACCAAATACATGGAAGTGCCTATGCCTAAGGAATAAATTTTTAGGAGAAACAAAACTGGAACACAACGGCAATGTTAAACAAAAATCCTGATGCATTTGCAGCTATATCCTTACTTGGTCTGCAACTTGAGACTGGCCATTATCTTGACTATCAGTGTAACAAAAATGTGTTCTCTGAGAAGCAGAAAGGGAAGGCTTGGGGTGCTACAACTGGGGTAAGAGCAAACAGCATTCACCTTAGGAATGTGGAAACCAAGCTGAGGTCACATTAGGAGCAAATGCCTCAGCAAAAAGATCACCTCAGTCATGAACCTGAGAATGTCATAAAGTACAACGAGGCAAGACAAAATGACTTGGTGGAGGGTTACAAAGACAGAAGCTTTGAAGACCACATCCATAGAATTGAAGACCACATCACTAGCTGCAGGTACAGATGCATCCCCAGGAAAATAATTCATGAAAATAAATCTTCTTAAAAGTGAGCTGAGGGCATCTGATGCCTTTCCTTCTATGAATGGGAATGGCATACCTGCCTGGCACCCATCCAAGGACTATAAGGCCATACAAAATTCCTGCCTTACTAGGCCAAATGTGCTCTTAAGGAGAGAACAGAACTTCAGACAGTGAAATAAGAAAGCAGCAGTGAGTGAACAGAGACCCAGTTGGCACCACTCTTCCCCATTCAAAAAGATAGTAAGTGTCTTGTGCTATACCTCTACTCTATAATGTAACTGAAAGGCTGGTATTTCCTCCTCTGGATAACTAGAAAGATGACCCAAGGCTGTCTCACTGAGATCTTTAAGTGTATCGCTGAAAAGTAGACGTGATGGCAGTCACATTAGCTTTTCCTCCCAGTTTTTCTTCACTGGGAAGGGAAATGTAGAACCACTTTCTGTTGGTGTAGAAAACTATGGTTGATTCCTAACAGTGAGCAATTTACAATTCTAGTGACACAGAATACAAACATGATCTTTTAATATACTGCAGAGAAGGTAACCCGAGTTAGATCTTTTTGAGTCCAAGGCAAAAAGTATATTAATGGATCATTACCCAGGAATGCAGATTCCTTTAGGTAAAAGTCAATGCAGCACCTAAAACATGTCAGTACAAGACTGATGAAGAAAGAAGTTTTCATCACAAAACCCCAAAACGAATAAACAAAACCACCTTATTGAGACTTTTAAAAAATAAGGAGATACATGGGACTCCTGTACAGAAGGGTCTGCATCAACTTGGACAAGATACCTCACTGAAGAGGACAATTTCAGTTCAAGTAACAGAATCAAGTTTTACCACAAGAAGAGAACTAAGGCATCCTGACTTTGTCTGGATTTGTCCCATACTACCGCCCACATCATCTCCTTTTCTTTTCTTGTTCAGTTCGATTAGTGACCAGTTTGCAGCCACATTCAGGCTGATCAACCATCAGCTGTCTGTTAGAACAGGAATTTATTAAGGTCTCTCTTATCCCAGGCAATTGTTAAACAACCTGCAGGAAGTCAGTATCTAACACCTCTACTCCATGTCAGACATGGCTGAAGTTAGCAGATGAAAGCAAAACCAATATCCAGAAAGAAATAAAAATAGGGAGCAAGGCAGCAAAATAAAAATCTGAACTGGAAGAGAATTCTGTTTCGAGCAAACACCAGAGTACAGATGAAAAGAGAACAGGTACTCCAACAACTCATGCAGCATTATTTGTGCTGTGAATTGATATTAAGTGCTGTAATGGTCTAATGAAGGCAAAGGTTTTAAAACTCGAGAATTACCAACATGCAAAGTAGAAACATGCAAATGAATAAATGCACAAAGAGAAATTCTAGATTCTTTCCCTGGTGCTGAAGAAAATGTCACAGCTGGAAAGAGCATAATTCAACATACACAGTGAAAGAAGGTTAAGGTAGGAACAGCTGCAGAAATGTGGTTTGTAGGTTTGAAGCTATTCTACCTTCTCCCCTGTCTGGAAAATACTTGTGGGAGAAGCATCTGACTTCTCTCCTCTGTCATTCACATTGTTTACGAAATACCCAACTGCACAGGAATATAAACAGCAAAATCAGCAGGCAAGTGGCAAGTTTGACTCAAGAGACCCCCTCATAGCTGGTTAATCTATTCCTCAGGCCTGATGAATATCCAAAAGGAAAAGAGGTCCCATTTCTGGCCTTCGTCCTGTAGAAGCAAGTCACACAGCTTTTCTCACTCATGTGTGCATGCACTTCCCTATTTACCACTTTCAAAAGCCTATTTTAGAAATATCTGAAACTTCCATTTTGCAGTCACATACATACAAACCCTACTTCGTCCTCCTATGTATCCTAAGGTTGGCCAAGAGTCTCAAAAGATCTGTTATATTAGATAAATAAAGTAGACATGTTATCCTTACAGGTAAAGCACTACCAAACAGCCACAAAGGAGTGGAAGTAATTCCAACACTCTTAATTTCTAAAACTACTATAATGTAGTAATAGGAATGTGGAGAGGAAGACACCATGCAATGGTAATATTTCAAACAGAGCAGCAAGCCTACCAATCCTTTTCTTCTGGGAAGGAATCCTTCTCCAGCAAAAGGCACTAGATCTTACTGGCTATAAATACATTTTCAATAGCTTATTTAAAAAAAAACAGTACAACAAATGGTAATCTTTTCATATTTATCATTTTATATTTGCTGTTTCTTCTGCACAAAAACCAGACTCTGCTTTGCAATGAATCACCTGCATATGTGGAAGTTTTCCCAAGTTATTTCCTTACATCCTGCCTTGGAACTGTTTTATCTTTGGCATATTAGTAAGTCTTTCTAGAAAGAACCCTGCAACCACTCATTTCCATGTAAATTTGTACACTATACATACAGTCTACTTGGATGAGAACTAAGCAACTGATTCTCACTGGCAAGTAAAAAAAAATAAAGACACAAATTATCTGATTTAGAGGCACCTTTCCTCAAGCTGCACTTCATTTAAGCCTGTTATATTCCACCTCATTACAAAAATCCAAGCTGTGTCTGCAAATGAGCACAAGACTCCAGCACTGTTTCTCTTGGGTTTGCAAGAGGGCAAAGCACATAGATCAGAAAGAACACCCTGCTAATTAAACTGCAGCAGGTGACTAAAGAAGAGCAGAGCTTGTCAGATGTAATAGCTACGTCAAGAGTGATCAGACTAAATATGCGAAATGTGAAGTAAAGGTGGGGAACAGCATTAAGCTCACAGTCTAAGATCTTGAACAGGCTGCAAAAGTTCTGACAGTTTCTCTAATTATTCACAATAATGGACATTGGGAGCAAAAGGTAGGAGGGAGGAATACATTTTTCTCCATTATAGGTGCTGAGCACTAGGGCTAAAATCATGCCTGTCTGAACACTGATCAGTTTCCGCAAAGGTTAATAGCAATTAAATGTGGCAAACTAGACTAAATGAGAAACAGGTCATGATACCACTGTACTTGCAAAGAGCACAATACTTTGCAGAAAGGTATTTCTTGTTTAGAGTACCTGGAATAAGAAAGAGTAGTATGTCTGTTCCTGTTCAAATGAAGACATACAGTCCAGTTCACTACAGAAGCCAATTTTTTATACAAGAATGCGCAAGTTAACTGTACTAAAAGGAAAAACTAAGCACTTTTCACTTAAAATATTCAAAGCCCTAAAAGGAATGAGTGAAAATGTATTGCTTTCAGTTTAATCAGCTTTAGAGAACAGTCAATTAGCTCTCCCAAATACATGTCCAATAGCAAAAAGCATTCAAAATGGGAATTAATAAATGCACATTTGCAGCAGATAGAACAAAAGATTAATACATTAGAATAAAGTATCTAATAGGATATAAATTTTAATTCAGCATTTAACTGTAAATACTGGTTTCGGAATCCTCTGTTTTTATTTGTTCTATTACAATTTAGTTCCTATACTGAAGTTATAAAATGAGTAAGACATGGCTACATTTTGAGCTCTCATTCTCCCACACAGGAGACAGAAAACATGAGTTGAAATTACTTGCATTTTTCTACTTTAGTACTTAAAAAAAAGCTACTGTCCTAACACCAAAACAAGCTGTCAATAACTCAAGAGATTAAGGAACAAGTGTAGTATCACCAACAGATTGCACAATCTATTTTTCTCCTGCAAAGCAAGCAAAATTCACCTAAAACAATTTTCAGAGAAAAGAAAAATCAATTCCAAATTTATGTGACAATAAACCAGGTACTGAAAACCTATGTGAAACTCTTGAAAACTCATTAGTAAACAGCAAGGACAAAAAATAACAAAATAGATAACTTGCATTGCTATCCTCAGGATCTTCTAAACCATCAGGCCGACTGAGGTTGCGTGAGGGCTGGCTACACACTACATCATCTTCCAGCTCCCAAAAGGAAGTTCTAACAGGTGGTCTTTGGATCTCATCAGGATTAAAAGCACCATCTGCTCCATCTGAAGAAAAATTCAAGCATCTTTGTTCAGCAGTTTTTATTTTGAGATTACAGGTGTGCTACTTTACCTTTCAAAATCAGGAGTTAAATGCAGTTTTGGTTTAGATACTACAAAACAGTAGGAGAGAAATCAAGGGGTTTAAAACTGTGTTTACCCTATTGATTCTCACTAGTAAAATAAAAGCACTGTACTGATTTTCAGCAATCAAAGGCCCTGTACACTGCTTAAGGCTCTGTACTTAACCTGCATTAAGTGAGCCATTGCTTTTGAAACAGCCAGGGCGAAATTATATTGGGGGTGGGTGGGTGAAATTAATTTACCTCTTCTTTCCTGAATTGCATAAGGGTTTCCATATTGCAATACTGGTAGTCTACTTGGCACTGCAGGAACTGGTCCGTTTTCCTCTGAATACGGGTTGCGAAAATGTAATGTTTGCTGTGAAATCTGTCCTTCCATCATCCTTCCAGCTGGATCTCCTGGTGTCCTGCCAAATTCCTAAATAATGCAAAGTTTAAAATACAATTAACCTATGGAGTCCTAGCAAAATTTGAAATCTTTATGAAATATTTGTTTTTTAAAAAGACATCTGATAACTTTCCTACTGTCTTTTCATTCTGAGCTAATGCCAAGTATACCATACATACCAAAAAGAGTCAATGAGGAAAAGAAAACATGAAGATATTTTAAAGAAATATTTTTTCTTGGTTTGCCATGAGTTAATTCAAATTACATAAACAGAACTGCCACGTTTTTCAAGAAGAGTCTGCATCCTTTTCGCAACACAGAAAAGTTAGCCAAATCAGTAAAGAATGGGTAGATTAACAATAACAGGATAATGTGCAGTGAGAAAAGTTTTCAGTAGTTACAATTAAAAATAAAATAATTCTTTTTTCCATCTCATACCATACCATTCAAGAATGCAGCATTTTAGTGTGTGGAGCACACTGATATGTACACACTTGACATAATTCCATATGAATTTGTGAGTGGCAGAGATTTATAGAACAATTAAGTACATTTTACTGGATGCCTTCTGATATCTGACAGCATTACCTACATGAAGCCTAACTTAACATTAGCTAAGCTGAGCCCAAAGCTATCACCTGGAGTAGGAAATGAAAAATGTTAGAAAAAAACTTTTGCTCAATGTCCTACACATGTACACACACAGAGGGAAAGAAATCAGCACAGAGAATTTAGGTGGTTCAGGTGTTCTCCGCAATGTAACACCCTCAGAGTTATCCTTACACGTTAAGCTGTGTACATTATTTGTAGATGTGTTAGGTGCAGCTGATGGAAATTCCAGGCAAGATTTTTAACTTGATGGACAGCTGGAGGAGACCATATTACAGGTATTTTACATCAACAGGATTTAGGTAACTACACATACCAAAAATTTTCAAATGGGTGAGAGTGAACACAATTTGCTGGGTCATTCCCATAACCTGGGCATGGTGGCCAGGGCACTAGCAATTGTGCAAAGGCTCCTGAACATACACATAAACTCAGCACTAGCTGCTGGACTGATTAACTCTTTATCTTTGATAAAATTCAGGCAATTGGTTCCAGGACGTAAAACTGTTACTCAAGGTTGGTATTTTCTATTTCTGTTAACAAAGAAAATGGTGATATTTTTCACAAAGGTAATCCAGATGAGATTACTTATTTCAAATTGTATTTACACCACAAGCATCATATGGAACAAAACTGCACTTGTATAATTACACATTAGTAGATTTTAAATCCCTGAAAAAGTGACTATCATACACAGATTTTTGCTGATTTATTATGCTTCCTGTGAAAAATAATATTCCTTCTCTGAACTTAATTCTAATCCTTCTTTCCTCTGTATCTTCATC